TTACCCATATTAAAAGTTTAAATAAACGAAGATAATAATGATAATAATAATAATAATAATAATTTATTTCTCGTGCATTCCAAAAAATCTCAATGCACATACAAGTATATATACTAATATTATTAAGGATAAAAAATATATGAAAAGTGAAAAGAATATAAAAATATACATAGAAAAACAAACAAACAAAAAGAATGAAAACAATAGGAAGTTTGTTCTTTATGTCAATTTTTTCTAAACTCGGTTAGATAATACTTATTTTTAACTTGCACTATATTTATAAAATACTGATAAACCATTGTAGACAATGGAAAAACGTTTTTGTTCAGGTTATACGGTGTGCAAGTTATCGTAAAAATTTAGCACAAAAACAACGACTTTTTTTGCATTGTTCTAATAAACAGAATCGTATTGTGCTTTGAAAGATAATGGGATATTATCTGTTATTCCGGAAAATAACGAAAGAAGTATAGAGTCCCTTTCAAAATTTAAGTTCAAACCGTGTATGGTTCTTCAATAAAATCGTGAAAATTATCAACGGTTTTTGAGCTCGCGCACACCACACCCTAAGGCGTAAGGCGTTATGGTTTTTAGTCGGCTTTCGTCGGACCAAGCAAGGGGGCCCACCTAAGCTACCATCCTCACTCTCTTGAGAAAGCTTAACAGGTTTTGCCCCCCCCCCCCCTTTCTCCCCGAAAAGGCCAAATCCTACGACCCTGAAAGCGTCGCTAACTTCCGTATAGCTCAAAACTTTTTTTGCACAGTAATTAAGTTAACTTCTTATTCACCCGTCGTATGTGACACAGCAACGCCGTCCCATCTAGTAACCCACAATGTTATCCACCAGTCATTTGCAATTTTAGTTTATTCCCTTAGGAATTGCTATATATATAAGGTCCTATTAGCCATTCCAAAAAAAATGGGTCGAGTCGGCATTGTAGTGCATTCTAGGACTTTTTCAGGAAACATCCTCTTGGAAATATGTCCCAGTTTTTCCCTTAACCTTGGAATGGCTTATAACCCACATTAACGTTTTTGGCTTTTTTTAAATTTTAGAATGACTTTGAATTGCGAAAATATATCCCAAGTTTTGTCATAAACCATGGTGTTCTACCTGCTGCAGAAGTACAGAGTCTTCTTCAACAATCTATGGTAAGATACATGCGCAGACTTCATTTATTAGGCTCGATCACTCAGTCTGCATTATTTGCTAATTCCCAATTTTTTCTGTTTTGAATTCTGGATGCTAACTGCTAAAATTTTATAGTGTCACTTCCATTATTTAGTAATTAACAGTGTTAGATCTACTATCTAAAGGGACACAAGAGTCCAATATGTGGTTGCATAACAACCTTTAATACTCGGCACACATTCGCACACATACGATCATCACACTCGATTACATGATTACGTCATAGCTTCATCCGGGAATCCAGGGATTTTCCTTTTTCTAATTTAATTTTAATGCGGATATCTGCCGGGTATATTCTTGGTTTTCACCTACGTCATCATGAATTTCAAAAGCGTAAATTCGCATTACAATGAAATAAAAGTTTCGTAATCTTGTAAAGCGGTCAAACCTACATATTCTGGCCAAATTTCGAGGCTGTAAAGCATTTCGTTGCGGAACTAGAGGCGAGTAAACATGACGCAATTTTTGGTTAAAATGTATGGAGCGGCCATCTTGATGTTCCAAGTTGGTACTCCATCATGGCGGACGAAATTTCAAAGGCTTAAGATGATGGAATTTTTAATATTTTTGATTATATTTCACTTAGATATACCTTAAATAGATCTTTAAAATATGTCTAAGGGAAAATCTTTTAACTAGAGTAAATTATTTTACTATTTTGATCGCTATTTAGATAGACGTGACGGCATTGCGTGACACAAATTCAACCTTCATAACTCGGGAACCAAACATCGAAATGAGTCAAGATTTTTTCTTGTGACTTATAACGCTGATTTCTAAAACATACTTGAGAAATGCCTTTATACGATCTATAGTTTAGATTTTGATGTTTTGATGACGTCATGTGAAAACCGTTATTTCGTTTTGCTTATTTGTATCGTTTGCACTAACTGATTTCCAGGTATTTGTTGGCCTTGGATTTCCATACGAAGGTCCTGCACCTCTGGAAGCCATAGCCAATGGCTGTTTTTATCTTAATCCTAAGGTTTGATATATTTTTCTTTTTTTATATAATTTTTTTTCCTTTATTGGTAAAAAATATTGGGAAGCACGGGTGACGTAGCGGTGAGAGCGCTCGCCTCTCACCAATGCGACCCGGGTTCGAGTCCCGCTGAGCTCGGTGTCGTATGTCAGTAGAGTTGTTTGTTGGTTCTCTCCTGTGCTTCAAGGGTTTTACGGGTTCCCCGGCTTTCCTCCCTCCGCAAAAATCAACTCCTAAATTCCAATAGGACGTTTGCATGATGGCGTCATTGACCTCTACTACCAGACTCCCTTGCACACTTTCTTTTGTTCAGTTAATTAGCACCAGTTGTCTTACTATTCTCATGAGGGAATACAAATTTGAATAAGAAAGAAAATTCGCGAAGCATCCTGGTAGGGGGAGTCAAATGACGCCATCATGCAAACCTCCTATTGGAATTACAGTGGATGAAGAGCTATTCTATAGAAATGCCACTGCTAAATCCCTTTTTTTTTTAATTCTTATTTACGTTCATTTGCAAATCTTAACCCTGTGATTTTGTCAATTTCTTTATGCAGTTTACTCCACCCAGAAACCGCCTAAATACACCATTCTTCAAGGACAAACCCACCTTAAGAAAGGTGCGTCTCTTTGCCTTCAATACTTGCTTTACAATATTAGTCTCAAGATTATCATGCGGAGGGTTTACAGTTGCACCATATTGTAGACATGCAAATAGATATTTGGCTTTTTTATAATAGCTGTCAATCAATGCCAGATGTTGTCAGGATTATTCACTTCGGCCTATGATATATCTCAGTCCGCATGAATAATTAAAGGGGCACTTGAATGAAAATCAATGAAAATTAGAAATGACTTTAAACTTGGTTAAACTCTATATGGCCCAGATAGTAGCCAGGTAAAATATTTTCTTCACATTCAAAAGTGGCGGATAAAAATTATCAATTTTATTCAGCATCTAAATTGTGACTAAATGACGTCATTTACTCAATCCTATTGTTCTTTTCGCTTTTGACCCAAAATATCTCAACAGCAAGTGGCTCCCAGGCTAAAATTTTCACTAATCTGATTTTCATAATTATAATTGAGTCATATTATCCTCGAATACTTCAGTTATTCGGACTTTCAAAAATCGGGGCGTTTTCATCCAAGTGCCCCTTTAAAGATGAGAATTGTGTTTCATTAAGCAAATTTTTCTCGGGAAAAAAATTCCGGATTTTTTCCCCGGAAAACAATTGCTTGGAGATTAACAATTTACATCTTTGATAACTATATAATATTGCCGTATTGTATTGTTGTTAATAGATGCTTAAAGCTTCTTACTGTTTGTTTTCTTTTGTAACTGAAACTGTTCAAACTATCCAATAGTATTTTACTGTGTGTGTCTGTGTTGCTGTAAGTAATCCACATTGCATTACAAATTTGCAGCACGAATCCGAGGAAGTCGTGTTATATTTATCATAACGGATAACCTACCAAATAAAAATTTAATTTATCGTTACTTTTTCAAACAGATAACCTCCCAGCATCCTTATACAGAAGAGTATATATCCAAGCCTTACGTGTACACAATAGATATTGATAACGATGCGGAAGTGGAAGAAGTCTTGAAAGCAATTTTAGTGTCTGAACCGGTAAGAATATATTTTGTTTCTGTCTCATGGCCTGAGCCGGCAAAAAAAGTTGTACACTTGAGTTAGCCCATGACCTGAGCCGGCAAAAAGAGTTGTACCATGGCCTGAGCAGGCAAAAAGACTCGTATACTTAAGTTAACCCATGGCCTGAGTAGGCAAAACGACTTGCACTATAGGCAAAAAGACTCGTATATTTAAGTTAACCCATGGCCTGAGTAGGCAAAACGACTTGCACCATGGCCTGAGCAGGCAAAAAGAGTCGTATACTTGAGTTAACCCAAGGCCTGAGCAGGCAAAACGACTTGCACCATGGCCTGAGCAGGCAAAGAGAGTCGTATACTTGAGTTAACCCATGGCCTGGGTAGGCAAAACGACTTGCACCATGGCCTGAGCAGGCAAAAAGAGTCGTATACTTGAGTTAACCCAAGGCCCGAGCAGGCGAAAAGTAAAAATACCGTGAATATTTTCGGAAGCTTGGCTTAGTTCTTGGGGACTACTTCGACGACACCTCGCACGTCAAGCTCTTCAGCTATTTTAGGTAGCCTATACCATTTAAAAATATATATATTTATCAATTTTCTCATTCATTGACAGTAATCTATGGTATAAATAAAGCACATTGCATTGATACATTAAATTCATGGACGTTTCTTAACGACGTTCATGGGCACTGTTCGCGCAAAATAAACGCGATTTTCAACCTTCCTGATTTGGCGGCCATGTTTGTGTCCCTCAATGGGAAATAAAGATGGCGGACCCATACATTTCAACTAAAATAATGCGCGTAATCAATTGCTCGTATCTCCGTATCTAAAACTTCTTTTAACTAGAACTTTGGCTGAGATATAGAGTTGTTGTTGCTCTTTCCACCTATATGGTTTTTGCTTTTATATAAGTACTGGGAAAATTTTCGACGAATTTCGAGTAACTCGAAGGCTCCACACTTGTAGCCCTATAACATCTTATGTTTCTGATTTTTAGCACAAATTTTGAAAGCCAACTAATTTTTTGGCTATTTCCTAGAGTTTTGTTAAAAATTGGGATGATCAATTTATTTTGTCAGTAAAATATGTCTTGTTTTCGACAACTTTTCATTTTGACGTGTTGTTGTTCGCGCGTTTTTACTCTAAAAAGGGTGAATTTCCACGTATTGTGCGAGAAGATTGTGCGATTTTTTGTTTATAATACACGCAACAAAATTGAGCAACTTTATTGGGACTCTACGGAGTACAATTTAGGATTTAATTATAYTCCTCTTGTCCAATCAGAATCAAGTAATTTTGTCGAGTGTATTATAATACGTGTGTAAACAACTAGATAGTCCTCGTCATTTTCTCGTGAGAATAAAAAGATGTCGAAAGGACTAACCAAAGTTGGAATGTATTGTTTTCATTATACACATTGATTGGTTCTGGCTCGGTCTAAGGCCCTGTCCACACTATGCCGGATAAATTTGAATCCGAATTTTCAAACCGAAACCGAAAAAAAAGTTTTCCGTCCACACTCGTACGGCTAGCCGGCGTTTTCAAATTGTTCCACTCTGGAGACCATATTTGAAAAAATTCGTCTTCGGACTCGCCCGGACTAGTGTGGACGGTAGGACTAACCGAATAAATAGAAATTCGGATTCAAATTTATCCGGCATAGTGTGGACGGGGTCTAAGTGGCTCCGGGTATAGTAGTCGAACTAAAAAAAATCTGATGATGGGATCTTTTGCCCATGAACGTCCTTAAGAGCTCACCACAAGAGAATACAACAAAAAATGACTTAAGGCGGCACATTGATCACGTTTACCCATAAAAGAAAGACAAACTTACTTCAACTTACTCCTTGTTTGTTTGTTTGTTTGTTTGTTTGTTTCTGTAGGTAAAACCGTACATGCCTTTCGAGTTCACACATGAAGGAATGCTGGAAAGATTACATGAATTTGTACAGAAGCAGGTGCATATCTTAAATATTCGTTTTGGTTTCAATTTTGGGTACAGCTGTAGACTTTACCCTGGGTTCCAGAGGCGCCGATTGTACTGACACGAGCGGTGAAGCCGCGAGGGCTCTATCGGCTTCGCCGCTCTCGGTGAATCCGCGGGGGGGGGGGGGAAACCCCTCTGGAACCCAGGGTAAGAAGTATTTAGATAAGAACGATATTACATTTATCTTCAGGACTTTTGCGGCCAAAGTCATTGGCCACCAATCGAGACTCTACGACCTATCAAAGGTGACATCTCAAAGTCATGTAAAGAGACATGTCATGAAAAAGGTACATTTTATTATAAATCTCTACTGTAAGGCCTAGGGCAAACTTCGAACTTTCCATGCACCGAACTCATTAAAAACAATGGATATCAGGTGATAATGAGGCGGCGTTCTTTGTTGTAATTAAGTTCGGTGCATGGAAAGTTCGACGTTTGCCCTAGGCCTAAGACTTACAGGGCGTGCCAGGAGGGAGGGGATGTCTTTAGGCAAATAGCTGGAACGTTGTTTCCATTCGTGACGTCACCATCCAGCTCTCTGATCTTTGAAATGGTGGCGAGTTTGAAGAGGGATAGAAAAGGGATAGATGTTTTAGCAATCAACACCAAATTCTATCGATCGTAGAATATGTTTTACGAGTTATTCTACGGATACCTTGAAGAAAGGGTATGGTTTTATGAGCTGGAACCTAAAAAGATAGCGGAATCCCGTGTAAAGTTTTGAATGGACGTCGAGCTTCAATGTCGAATTTTAAGAAGAAAATCATTATACACTCAATGTCTGGTTGCGAGGGAAATAGGTAGTTTTGTTTTCCCGATAGTCTCGATGTTTCACGAGGCGAAGCCGAGGGAAACATCGAGACTCGAAGGAAAACAAAACTAACTAATTTCCCGAGGGACCAGACATTAAGTGTTTTGTTATACAGCAATTGAGAAATATTGAGGCCCCGTCCACACTATGCCGGATAAATTTGAATCCGAATTTTTATTTATTCGGTTAGGCCTTTCGTCCACACTAGTCCGAGCGAATCCGGAACAATTATTCACCGAAAACGAATTTATTCGAATACGGTTTCCAGAGTGGAACAATTTCAAAACGCCGGCTAACCGTATTAGTGTGGACGGAGAACATTTCGTATCCGATTTTTTTCGAATACGATGACGTCATGATTCTATCAAAATAGGGGTGACATATCAAACTTATGCGAAAGCGTAATTGACCTAGCTGCACAGTTAAATACATTATGTAGCTTGTAGCTTTGTTGGAATTCTATGTTCCTAGCCGCATTCGATCTTCTTCTAATAAACAAATCATTATTATTGTCATCAACATCACCATCATTATCATCATCATCATCAAATAAAACTATATGGTTGCATGCATACTTGCAACATGCAATGACTAGTGTAAAATGATATTTATTATTCTGTGCAATCAATATTATTTTATTTTATTGCAGAAATGGTTTGCGAGCCTGAGTTCTTCCAGGAGATCAATTTGCCCGAGCAACTTACAAGGTTTGTAAATCAATGCGCCAGATACTCGTAGATAAATATTCGAAGATAAATATGGGGAAATATTTGGGAAATAGGAAAATAGACTAGGAGGTCAGCGAGGCCAGTGTAATACTAGAAGTGCGCTAGATGCCATCCTGATCTTTATTTAGAGATATAATTCAAATAGTTTAAGCACTGTTACAGCTGCTCTTGTTTTTTCACTATACACATAGAACCGTAACAAACATCTGTTGGCCGCGTCCACACTAGCGCATTATTATGGACGTAGACTTAGTCGAGTCGAAAGAAGCGCTTAAACTTGTAAAAACCCTGTACTGCGCGTAATCAGGAGAGCATAAGATAACAACATTTCGACTCAATTCAGTTGCCCCCACCAACTTGTAGATTTCCACTGTTCAAACTGACCCAAAATGAAACAAACTGTGCGTTGAAATCGTAAACCAACACAAAAATCTTTTTTTTTTCCCAGAATTTATTTTTTAATATTCTAGACCTAACTATATTTTGCTTGCTTTTCAATCTTTTTAGGGCTGGTTTCCCTTGCAATACAACTCGTTCCGAGGATACACCGTCACTGGTTGCTCCAGGATACCGTGAAGACCCACCAGCCTGTTTACTCCAAGCCCAGCCACTTCTTTTTAGCTGCACGGCAACAAGCCCGTCTACAAGTAGGCTATGTCCATGCAGAGATTTTAAGAAGGGACAAGTTGCTTTGTGTAAATCATGCTGATAGTTTTGAGGAGTGTAAAAAGTGAAAAAAAGTCCCAAAGTCCAAAAATACAACAAAAGATTACTGCTACCTCTCAGTCCTTGGACTTAGGTGAAAGGGCTGGGCCATTTGTAATTACTTCCCATCCGAGTGCAAGTGCAGTGAAGCAGACGATAAGGCAAAGCCATGCCAAGCTCACTGTCCAGTCATTACATTTTATTTAAAATTACATAGCATCGAGTGCAATGAATATGTAAATTAGCACCATATAATGAGTGATGACATTTCCGACTTTACAATTTGTATTTTTACATTTTCACGTTACTTAAGGCCAATCCTAGTACTATGGTTACCCGCTACTATAAGCAGGGTCAATAGAGCTCGGCTTCACAAGGAAAAATATAGTTAGGCCGATAACCCGAGTGGTAGGGCTGGTTAGGAACGTCAACAAACCAAAATGGTATAAATCACAAGATATTGACGGAAACTTGACTGAAACTTGACTTTCAAATATATTTTACAGTGCGATTTAGCAGGCATTTATTTACTGGCTTGGTTCTTAAAGTGCTTATAAGCCTGTACAAAATATTTTCAGAATTGATTCTTTAAATAGTGAATAGTTGATTGTGAAAATAATTCGTCATTTGAATGTCGGGTCTTTGAGATACGAAGGTTTATATTTCCAATATGTTAATGACTATGACGTAACATAAGGGATTTGAGTTATTTTGTGGCAACTTTTAATACTGAACGCTGGACATTTTTTGAAAACAAATTTGTAAGAACCTTTACGTGAGTCACGAGTAAAAGGGTGATGCTTTTAAAATACTGTATTCTAGAACGATTGCAGTGTTGTATATTAAATGATCCCTTATGTTACGTCATAGTCATGAACATATTGGGAGTATAAACCCTCGTATCTTAAAGACCCGACATTCAAATGATGAAATATTTTCACAATCAACTATTCACTATTTAAAGAATCAATTCTGAAAATATTGTGCAAAGGCTTATAAACACTCTAATAATGCCTAAGTTATTCGTGATACAAGAGGTTTGAGAAAGGATAGAAAAGTTGTTCAGGGAAGGCTGGTAATCCCTAACCACGAATTTTATATTGGTGGTGGGAAAAAAAGTTAAATGTGTCTTCTAATAGAGGTTTTTGTATCAACACGTGATGGCAGCCATGCGGATGGCATAAACTAAACAATCGTTTTACATAAGGATGAACTCAATTTAATACCAAGACCACATCTAACCGCAGGCAGCCAAAGCAGTATTAGGGACTTTAAGATTTGCAAAATCTGCGACGGTGACGTCTACCGGAAGTGTAAATAACTTCACATTGGGGTTTCGCACCTTCAAAGTCTGTCTTCACTGTGGATGAGTTGACTTTACTGACAATGTCTTGAATAAAGTCTCCAATGAAAAGAATCCCAAAGAGAAAATATGTACACTTCCGGTTGACTTCGCCGTCATAGATTTTGCAAATCTTAAAGTCCCTATTATGGGCGTCGGCATATGATGGTACAAAACCTCTAAACCTAGTTCATTAGTTCATTTAAAAATGTTCTCCTGTAAATGTAAAAACTTAATAAGATGTGTCTTTAATATTTATTAAAAATTAAAACGTGCTGTACAGTTAAACTGAGAAAGTTGTATTAAGTGTGAAGTATAAATTTACTCTGGCAACAAATCTGATTTCTGATGTCCTTTAAAAGTTTCTATAAAGCCTACAGGATCTCTTTCTGATTTCAATCATATTACAAAATAAAAAAAGAATGGCCTGTACTTTCTTTTTGATATCTCTCTTCGTTGCCGAGATATTCGATATAGATATCACGAAGTGATGACGTCAACAGTATCGTTGTAAAAAAGTCAAATTATCAAAAAGAGAATGTCTGCGAGAATAAGCTCAAAATGACTGGAATTTCTCGTGGACATAGCGCACTATGACTTACATAAGATTCAGGCAATCTCTCTTTGATTCTAGCTAAAATACAATAAATGTATTTTGGTCTAAACCAATGTATTGTACGAGATGTATTTCTCTTATTTTAGTTCGATTAAGGTAGAATTTAACAAAAGTTTCGCTCTACATTTATACATATTATATATATATATATATATCCAAATGGTGAAACTATCGTGACAATATTTTGCAGAAATAATCAACCAATGAGAAAATAGCTCGGAGAATGGTATATCCAGGGGCGTAAGCAGGGGGGCTCCCACCCTCTTTGTGGCAACAAAACGATGGCCTTTAGTTCATACGTAATTTTCAAGAAAAAATTTTTTTCGTAAAACTAAAGCGTAAAACGCTTAAAATGCCTTTTTTTCTTTTTTGGGTTCGGCGTTTTTATAGGCTTAATCCCCAGCCGTCGGGGAAATGATTAGCGTATGGGGGTTCAAACAAAATGGCAGATCTCGGAAAATCCTCACTGTTAGTTAATCCGTGGTTTAAAAACCGTTGCAAGCTAGATTAGTGGGTCGATTAATTAGCCCCCGATTACGCTACTTAATCTACGACCAGCATTCCAAAACACAGCTGCTGTTAAATGGGGGGCCCTCAATAGCTCTTTTCGTAGTTGAGCACGCCACCCCAACAAATCAGCGGTATTGTGATGAGCGCAGCATCAAAACGAGCATGAATCGGGTCGAGCGTCGGATAATTTGCTAAGAAATTTACCAGACTCGTACCCAGTCGTCATTTGTTTCACGCTTTTTTTGCGCGCGGTGGCTTTTGGGTGGCCTTGATGCACCTCTCATTAAATCCTTCCCATCAACCACAGCGTAAGATCAATAAGACAAGAGAAGCGACTGGGTACGAGTCTGAAAATTTACTACAAATCTTCGACTGATCACAACATATTAATAGATCTTAGTTCAAAGTATTGTATAGTCTTTCTAGCTTTTATTAAACACTATATAGCTTTTGAATGCTTTATTAAGCCACTGGAAGGACAGATAATTGATTTGAAGCCGAGATCTTTGCAGTCCAAGATTTGTTTAATGCTGTCCACACTATGCGAGGACCATAGTTAGAAAGACAAAAAAGTACTTCGTATATCGAAGATATCTATCAAAATGTAACGATCTCTCGCAGATTTGTAGCAAAGTTCTTAGCGAACTCTTCGAAGCTCTACCCGATAGCCTCGTTTTAGCATTTTTTGCTATATCTTGGACAATAGGAGATTCCGATTTCCCTTCGGAAGTGCTATCCACTGCGAAACCGTGCAGGCTTTCACTTTGTTCAGTTAATCAATTCTCATTCGGAACAACAAATTTGAAGAAGAAAGAAAATTCACGAAGCATCTTGGTATAGTGCGAGTCAAATAGAGTTCAAACAATATAACCGTACATACATACATACATACATACAAACTTGTGAAACTTTAATAACACTAAAAATAGCACAATTTCATTTTGTACTATTTAGTAATTAGTGTTTCACGGATTAATTGTTTGCACTCTAACGCGATCATACAAAAGTCCTATCCAAGGGCGGATCCAGGGTTTTTTGAAGGGGGGGTCTCAGGGGTAAATTTTGTGGGCAAAGGAATCCCAGTCGCATTTTTAACAACGGAAGCCCATTTGACCTCAGGAATGACAGGGGGGTCGCGACCCCCCGACCCTCCCCCTGGATCCGCCCTTGCTATCTACAGTTTTAAATTGAATGTTGTTCCATGCGTTTTCATTTCCACGACAACGCAAATAATTAAATTTGAACAAACAGATCCAATGTTATAATTACTCAGGGCCAGCTTTAAAATAGACATCGTTCAAAATATTTAAATTTCTTCGTGCACACGACTTTTTGAGACTTTTTATTTGCAAAATGTAAGGCAAACTTAAGATAATTTGATTTTCCACTGTTCACACATTCACGTCAAGCAAATTTTCCCAGTTTATTAGATACACTCACTAAACGCATGTGGTTCCTGCTGTAAGCTGAACAAATCAGTGGAAAACAAATTAGCAATCGATATGTTAAAAGAGAAAATATTTAGAAGAGAGATCGATTGAAATTCGCTGCAGGAAACAGTGGTCTTCTAAAATTGTAGACTCCAATTGGCAACTTGTTGAGTATTTCACATGTTCATTCTATTTTTTTAAATTGCTTTACAAACTGATTTATTTACTAGGTTTTGGTGTGTAATTTATCTAATAAGCAATTTTAAAAGTTTTGTCAAAATATGATGTGAAATGAAAACCAAATGGACAACTGTACCAAAAATATATATGACTTCGCCAGTTTTCCCTTTAAAAACGTTTTTTAATATAGTATTCACAAAGAAAATTAAAATTAAAAATACTGGCAATCCTCGCCTTTGTTATTTTTAGTTGTCAAGACTATTAAAGCACAAATTTTACACATTTAAGATAACAGAATCATAGCAACACATTCAATGCTGATAGAATGTATTCAAATGGTAATAAAAACCTGAGATTGGTTGTTAAATATACAAAAACTCCTCGTCGTGCACCTACCGAACGTGTTTCTTTGCTGTTTTTAAAATAGAAATGGTCAGTACCAGTAAAATTCACGTTTCGTTGTGGCTTAAATTTCTTTCTGCGGCTTTTTTTCTCCAAATATCTATTTCATTCATGGTTTTTATTTGGCTCATCTTTTTCGGTGGAATCAGATCGCAGGTATGGCCGAATGTCGATATGGTAAATTCATTAAGCTCTAGGCATCATCAGGAATCGATAAAAAGTACTGGTAATACAGGAGTACGTCTGTTTGTCGCTATTTTGAGCCACCCAAATAGAAAGGAAAGAAGGGATGCTATTAGAGACACCTGGTTTTCAGCGTGTAATGATGAAAGACTACAAGTGCAATGTAGGTTTTTTTCAGACTACGTCGGTCTAAATAGCAAGTCTAAATACGCACTTAGTAAGGAGAAAGACCAAAATAAAGACCTTGAAATTTTAAACGCAACAGGTAAGCATTTGTAGGATAACACGATACTTTTATTATTATGATTAAAACCATCATCATTATTATTATATGTAAATGGTTTTCTAAGTCCTTCAATTATTACTGGTGACACTATTCGTCCAGATCTCCTTCTCCTAATACAGTCCAAGTACCTTTATGTTCTGGAACTAACAGTTGGGTTTGAGTCTAACCTTAATAACAATGCAGTCCGTAAAAGAGAAAAATACAAGAATTTGATTAAAGATTTGACCAGTAAATTCGATCGCGTTAAATTTGTAAACCTCTCGATGAGCTCTCTTGGCGTCCTGTCCGACGAATGTTCTACGTTTTTAGACATGATGAGTGACATTGGAGTCGACAAAAAACAACAAAACTATATAATAAAAAAAAATAATGAATCTTGCCATTAGAGCCACGTATTATATATTTTGTTGTAAAAATAAGATTTGGGAAAGCCCAGACTTAATGAAATTT